ACATGGTTGTATACCCTGAATAATGCCTAGGGGAGCGAAGGTGAGATGACAAAAATACGAAGCCTTCTGCTTTGTTATAACTCTTTTTCACAAAATATCACCAACATTGCGTAAGCAATTACACTCATATCCAACATTGGATGATAATCATGGTATGACTCAATTTAATGATTAATCTACATTCCGCCTACATTTGTAATTAGCCGTCAAACTGTCATGTAACGGACGTAAGCAGACCTCTTTTGCTCCTCTCAAAATTCCATTCGCAAGTTCAAAATAAGTTTGCACTTTAATTAAAGATTTTGTTGTCCTTGCAATAAATATCCGAAATGAGTCGGGGCAAATCCAATCCAACCACATTTTGACGGCCTTGCGCTTTAGTTTCAGAAATTTTCAATGAAAATGTGGAAACCATTTTTATAGATTGATAATTGAATGCATGCCAGCTGCACGTCTAGACCGTCCATTGCTTTGGGTGTTATTAAAACCCTGTATATCATCGTGGCACGCCCAGCTATAAGCCCTTCATCCTTTGGCTCCATCGCAGCTGCTGTTCAGAGCAGTATTAATTACCCCTTCAGGGTTATATGCGAATTTATTTAAAAAAAAAATGCAGTGTGCAGGATGTGGCAGAGAACCCTTAAAAGTAATTAATATTAATACAGGAAAGCGAATTAAAATGTGCCAGACAGCCCCATTAATCTGAATAATTTATAATGATGTCAAGCTGAACTAAATATATAACTAGACATTGCTGTAATATGTAATATCGATTTCGGCAAGGGAATGTCTTATGTGGACGACCTCATGCCAAAAACGATTAATATGGGAAACACTCACAAAGTTTAATGACAAAAACTTTCAATTGGTGTTTCACACACGCACTCATTCCCTATTCGAAACCTTTGGGGAACTTTACATCTTGGACACATTTGGATTTGCCGACATAATTTATAAATAGAAGACCAAAAAGCAGCATCATGAGGAGCCTGTTGCTATGTTGGGTTATCCATTTACCTGACATTAAACTTTAACGCGATATGAAGCTGGCACCTACATCAGCAGGCACGTCAAACTGACGCGAAGAGTGCCCCAAAAGTTACATAATTAACAGGGAGTCAACACATGGATTTGGGTCAGCCAGATACAAAGTGAACCTAAATAATGTGCTTTAAAATTCAGTCATTCGTGCTAACATTTTTGGTCGTCGGTAGAAACGGCACGTAAACATAATTAGAGGTACATTTAAAAGGTCATTAAACGACATAGGCGACGCGACCTGCTTGAGCTTCGTGATGGCCAACCAGGCACATTATGTTGGCACTCGAGCCCAGGGCCAGTCCTAGTGCCACTCAGGGGTATTTGCATCCTGGAAAAGTGGCCGGGTCTGCCTCTGCCCACTGTGCATGTGCATGACACTGGCAACGAGAGCTGAGCGAAGGACGAGAGCTGAACAACAACATGCAAATACCATTAGGCAGTCTTTGGTCTTTGGTGCCGGGTTATTTTGGCCGTGGCACAGCGCGGAGGCCCCACTTAAAAATATTCTCGACAACTTGACATTGTTGCAAGAGCGAAAATATGATTTTTTAGCACTCTGTAAGTGTAGAGAATAATGGCCAACTGGAAGTAGAACAGCAATGGCAGCACGTGGTTGTACACAACACGTATCTACTAAATATAGCACTTAGGAAACAGCAATAAAAATATGCCAAAAAGATAAACACCTTGTGGTGGAATCACAAATAGAGGCAAGGTTCAGGAGACGGTAGTAGAGATTGCTGAAAACTCAAGGAATTCGGCTAAATTTTACATAAATCTTAAAGTTACCTATGTAATTAATTACCTTTATACAAGGTGTATTCCTTGTTGTCATCGACACCAGCTTGAAAACTTAAAGTGTTTTGGGTTTTGTTAGAATATTTTGGCACATTTCTTGTGCTTTTAATGTTTTACACTGTTAGGAGCCCTCAAGTGCGGCACTTAGAAAGTCCTGCCCCAACGTGGTTTGGATGCCCATCTGTAAGAAATAAAAATGCAGCGTTTATGGCTCAAGTTGTGGACGTTTTCTCGTCTCGTTTATTTGCCACCATCTAGAAACTGCTATACGCGCACATCCAAGTTCTCTCACCAAGTGGCATCCTTGACCCCAGCGAGTGCCCATTAACGCTTTTTAATCTGTTCATAAATTTTAATTTTGCCAAAATACTCCAAGTACGTGCCACGCCTGTTTCAACGTGTGCTCCTCCCGACCACAGCATTTAGCTTGAAACAAAGCTCCCATAATTTTTTTCAGACTCGTGGCTTCTCTTGGCCAAGATTCCGCATTGTGTTGGTTGCCCTGAAAAATATGACTTGGTGGCTCCTTTTGCACTTGCTGCTTGGCAACCTTTTTCTGCAACGTTTCTTTTCTGAGCTTTGTCCTTTAAGTTGGCGAGTCGAGGGATCTTAACCTTATTTCACTGGCGGCACATTCGCGGCGCTTGTGGGCATGTTTATCGTCCTTTGCATCTCATTGAGCTCGTTCCTGTTTATGAACACTTGCTCGTTTGAATTGCTTGCTCGGTTTGTTGAGGGCGGCTAGTCGACCCTTGCCTCCATGCTCGAACCGGGTCCGATGCTCTTTTGGCCAATCTGTTCATCTCTTTCCGAGTTGCCGCTATCCTTTTTGCTTTGCGCGGCACATTTAGCTTTTCAGTGCATATTTAACCTAATTAAAATGAGTTCTGCGAGCCAGGTGATGGGGACGTCTTTATTCTTGAACATTTCATTCCTGCCTGTTGCTAGGTTTACCTTTGACCGGGATAAAGTTTGCACAGTAGAAATGCCCGACTCAGAGTAATCCTCTTCGAACAAACAAATACATTATTTTTGTAATACACAAGGTATAAAACCATTTTGGAAATATTTTATCAAATAGCTTATAAATTTGTATGCTTCACTCTAACTGGAATATACATTTGCGGGCCTCGTTGAACATTTACGTATTATTTTGACCTTGGTTTAAGAAAAATAACATTGAATAGAACAAGCAATTCAGACCTCCTTATAATTTAGTAGACAAAATACGTCGATTAGCTTGAATTATATATGAAAAACAATTGAATATTTTATTTGACAGTCCTATTGTTGAATTGATGATAAGCCTCAGGTTGGTTTAGGAGTATAACTACTAAACAACTGCAATTGGCCTTTGACTAAACAGTAAACAATGTATATGTCTGGGAGAAAGCAGAAAACTAATCAAACAAATTTATATGCGTTCTAAGAGCATCGTGTTAGGTGCAAAACGCACAGGAGCTATGCAAAGGACTCTAACTGAAAGCACTTAAGCCCATAAAATATTCAAGCCGTGAACATGTGGAAAAAATTACGAAAGCAACCAAGCAAAGAACACAAATTGCAGGCACGCAAAAAAAAAACGCAGTATAAAAGAATGGAATGGATGAGTGGACATAACAGACATTACAGGGACGAACAAGGATATGGAGCCTGAGGCCCGAAGTCAGCCACGCAATTTGCCATTTCGGGCAGTATGGAAAGGTCTCGGAACCCCGGTGAAAGGCAGCCAGCCACTGATTGAATAGCGAGTAAAGGACAAGAAGTTAGCCGGGCGATGGAAGGTATGATGAGCTCCATAAATGTCGTACGGCAAGCGGAAGCAGAAGAAAATGGCGCCGCTACTGCGACTGGCAGCATTGTGCAGCGGAAGTGGTAAAAGCAAAGGGCCCAGTGTCCCAAGCCTGTACCATTCCCATTTGTACGTAGGCACAGTGCCATCCACATCCTTGTCGTTTCTGATTTTTCTTGATACACGCACAATCGCACACGGACACATACAATAACATACAGACGCTTTCCCAAAACAGACATGAATACTATTGAGTTGTATAATATATCAAAGATGTCTTTTTAAAATTTGTAGAGATCAAAGTTTCAAATGCCTTTAAAAAAGAACAGATTGGGAGAAACCTTATGCATACTTTTTTATAGCCTCATGAAGCAGTTAAGGAATAAGATGGCAACGCGTTCTTGCGGTAATATTAAAAGCGCGATGAGGATATTAAACATGTCCTTAAGCATAAAATGTCAATAAACGCAACGGGCCGAAGCTAAGCAGTTTACATTGGCTGCACGTCGGCGACAAGGCGCCAGTTCCACACACTTGAGATGTGCAGCTTTGCATCGTTTTTTATACCATATACCCATTGTGAATGGGACAAAGGGGTAGAATGTTCCTGTCCACATGTGTGTATGCGACTCAGAGACTAATAATAAGAGTTAGAGACATGAAATTCATAAAATTCCAGCTTATTTTAAATTATTGATAATTTGATTGGATAATTTTAGGAATATGTTCAAAAACACTAGATATGTGAAATAAGGATAAAAATATATATATTATATAAAAGAAGGCCCGAATGTATTTGCACAGGGAATCTGCTAATCGAGCACTGCCGACTAGTCGACGCTTTTTTGTACTTTTCCAATTTTTTGTTGTTCTCCTTGGGTATGCTTGAATTACGTTGCTTGTGCCACTCGCTTAGTGTAAGAAACTGAAGTGAAGTTCAGGCAAGAGTCTGCACATGAAAATGTCACATGGATGGCACTAGCAGATGGCAAAAAAAATTGAGTTAGTGATAACATGGCTCCTTGAGTCTTATAGCTCTTAAAGTATCACAAATATGCAGATTTGATGGGGTAAGTGGGCTAAAATATTCCTAAAATGGCTCAGATAGATATATGTATAGACATACTCAAGTTCCGGAGAAGAAATCAGACTCATTGTTATCATGTGAGATGGTGTTGGTAGCCCAAACAATTGAGTATAGACCTTATCAGCCGACATACATACTCACAAATGCTTTTACGCGTATTCATTTAACTCTATGAATTTGGAAATCCATTTATCAATTGTTTTTGGTTCTTATCAATGGAGACGAAAAAAATACAAAATTTTATGTTACAAGTTACGAGTAATTAGTTCTTGGGACTGCTTCTTCGTGTGGGACGCAGTGAATATTCACAACTCTACGCTTAGTTCTGTTGGCAATACCGAATGAAATAGTGGCAGCGGTATGAGAGGTAAAGAAAATTAAATGAACAGTGGGAACGGGTAAAACTAAATAACTCTTATTTTAGTTTCCAGCCGGTGGTTACACGCCATCGTTTTTGTTGTCCCTCTGTGGCAAACGTGCGGACTTGCCATGAACCAAATTTGCAGCTACTGGCCCGGTAGTGGCTACATAGGTGATCCGAGCGACTGCCACAGCTGGGGATACTGTAAAAATAATAAGCTATCGGCTAAAGGAGAATGCCCCAATGGCTTGTTTTACGATGCCCAATCAGGAACATGCCAGCAGGCGCATCTGGTGCGATGTGCACCTCAGTATTGGGAACTATGCGCTCAGAGACGGAGAGGAGAGTATGTTTCTGACCCGTTGGATTGCAGAAAATACAAACAATGTGATGAAGAGGGCGGCAAAATTGAAGAGAATTATTGCGCCGGTGGATATGTGTTTAGCAACAGGCTGCAGACATGTGTTTCAAGTGCAAACGGATGTGCAGAGGAGACTCTTTCCATATGCGGCTACGTGCAGAATGGTACGACCTTGGGAGACCCCTTGAACTGTGGCCTTTACTTGGAGTGTCAAAGTGGAACAGGCATTCGACGAGCCTGTACAGCTGCTCGTTACTACAACCACAACACCGGGCGCTGCCAGACAACACGTCCAAATCATTGTCCCAGTGACGAGAATAGCTATAAGCCTGCCAATTATCCGCCTCCTGCTATGGATGCCTCCGTTTGTACTGACTTCTATCAGGATAACCATTCAGGAATTCAACTTATTACAGATGCCCAGACTTGCCATGGTTACTACACGTGTGGCTCCAAATATGTCCTCGGGATTTGGCACAGCTGTCCACACGGGACTCACTTCCAATGGTGGAGTCAAAAGTGTGTTACCCCCGAGTCCTACAGCTGCCCGTACGATCGGTGTGGTAATCTGAACTCGTCCCTAGTCGCTGGTATAAACTCAGGTTGCTCTGAATATATATACTGTCAAGATCAAACATCTCAGCAAATAGGTAAATGCCCGGAAGAGTTACCATACTTTGACGAAAAGAGAGGCGCCTGCATTAGGGATTTTCCGAACTATACTGTATGCTTTATGGATGGTTGATATTCGATGGATAGCTTAATTAAAGTTAGGTTAGATTTATGATTATCAACTAATTGTACATCTCTTATGTATAAATATATACATTTGTGTATATAAACTGTTTTGGGTTGTGCTTTAAGAGTATATTTATTTATTTATTTGCACAAAACCCGATTGGCATAAGAAAGACCCAAGAAAAAAATGAAGCACATCAACACAGAGGGGCAAGAAATGTTTAGACAAAATTTATGCCGAACCAACATTTTTGGCGCTTTTTTCACACTTCCTTTTCGGTGCTACTTAGTAAGGAGCGGGCAACATCTGGTGCACCACGTTTTTGTGAGGATTTTCTGTTTTAATAATTTTGCAAGTTCCCAGAAGTGTTGAAGATGTACAAAAACTTTAACAATATTCGAGAGTTGTTAGGCGACTGTTTCCCCAGGCTTTTATTCCTTTCCAACAAATCAAGTTGCATTAGTCGTAGTGCCCAATAAATTACCTACGAAATTTATTTCCACACACGTGGGCTTTTGTTAACTGACCTATAAAGTTAAATATAAAGACATCTGTTTCCCGGCAATTTTTTAAGAACATAACATTATAAAAAAACGTACCGAGAAATTAAATGGCTTAAAGATAGAATTAACCCTTCATGATTTGGTGTGCTATTACTTTTAAATTTTCAAGTGTAGGGTAAAAGAGAGAAGGTTGAGAATACAGGGTAAACAAAGGTTTGTTCGCTCCAACCCAATTGAAAGTATTTGCGACTTAACCTGCTTTGTGTCCGCATCAGCAACAGACCTGACAGTACGTAAAATGTAGAGATAAGTGGAGCGGGCAATGGTTTCAGCTAACCATTGTGGCCTCGAAGGCGAAGCGAAGAACACGATGAGCGATTGAATTATTATGATTGACTTTTATTACATGGAATCGCAATTTATTTTACTTAACAACAAGCAGCCAAACGAACCAAACGTGGCCCAAAGGCGTGCTAGCAACAAGCGTGGCCAAAAAGCATTCCGAAAATTTGAATGAAAAGTTATAAAGAAATTACGTTATTTATCATTCGCAGTGTTGTGCAGCCCGCGGCCGAGGCGAAACGGTAGAGAGCGAAACAGCGACACGGCCGTCCCAGCAGCAACCCAAACCGTTTCCGTTTCCGCTCATTTATTTGCCTGACTGTCAAACCAGCGCGCACACACACACATACACACGCGCACATATATAAACACATACACAAACGCACATTTTTTCCGGAGCTCTGCGCTCTGTTGGTTGTAGTTTATGCACTGTTAAAAAGTTTTACTTTGCGCCAGAGAAATTTAAATTTATTGTTTTGCGGTTTTATTGAACGACTCCAGCATCACCTCAATCGCCGTCCAGTATTCATCCTCTCACTGTATCAGTGCCCTGGTGGTAGGTTGGCTTAAAATTAGTTGCTGCTTGGCAATCGATGGGCATTTGATTTACTGCCGTTGCAAGATTGAAATGCCTAATTGCTATAAAATTGGGCGTGGCCGCAGTGCCAGCCACCAGGTGAATTAAGCTTGACTGTGGGACTGCAATCCAATTACAAATTAAGCGTCTTACTGCCAAACACTTTTTTTTGGCACGTTTGCTCTTTAATTCAGAATTGTAGTGTGTTGAGCATAGCTTAACGGGATTGAATCTCGCTTAAAATATATACTGGCAGGCATTACTTCACTTTCAGTTCTAACTTTTCAATCGGTTCGCCCCAAAAAAAAGAGAGCTTGTCGGTACTACTCTGAGGAGTGGAACGATCGCAGGATGGGTTAGTAAGGGTACGATTAAAGCTTATGAATAAATTTTTAAACAACAGACAGTTTCCAAAATGTATTGTTTTTTTTTTAGTAAATCTTTAAAAATGAGTTTGAAGCTAATCGGACCTATATTAAACATTTGCTAACACAATCAAGGACCCACATTTCCACACAGCTGCGTGAATTTTGTGAAGACTGTGAAAAACGTCTACAATGAGTTTTCGCAGAAATTAAAGAGAACGCTGTCATACAACCGTTTTCAAATATTTCCACAGTTTACAAAAACACCGTATACTATTGCACATATTTACCCCTTCTTAAGTATTATTAATGGCTGCGTGGTATAACAAGTAAGTCCCGAATGCCCGATGGAGAGATTCCCTGTGTTTTGACTCTAGAATGAAGCATCTTCGTCACCTGAGAGTATATAATACGACTTCGGATCCCATAAAGCTAAGATCCAAATTTAAAATTTAGGTTAGGTCTATAAAATTTAAGTATTTGATTACGCCTTACCTACTATACCCTCCAAAAATGTGTGATGTGTATTTATTCATAGTATAATGCCTCGTTAAAAATGTATGTGGTGAAACTGAGAAGAGGGTATCAGCTTGTCGGTGACTCTCGACCCAACGCTCTTACTTATTTACCCTTGAACATCTCAGGGCGCATACTTCAACCTTTGCGTTGTCAGGGCCAATGCCACCAGGCAACAGCTTACTGGGCCTAATATTCTTTATCCGTAGCTTTGGTTCTACCCTGCGGCTTACGGCGAGGCTTTTGTTTTTCTGTCTGCCGGCTGGATTACTTGGTTACCTTGCCGAACCCAAGGGAATGAGATGCTGTCCATGGTTGAGAAGTTTCGCCTCTCTTTGCTTCCATTATAACTGGCACTGTTGCTGGGTTGTGGTTGTGTTGCCAAATAGCTGTTTGCCTGATGCCGTCGTTGTTGACATTTAGTTGACATACACAACAGCGATCCCTAGCCAACCACCCCTTCATCCCACTCTATGCTGTGCATTTCCGCCAACAGGCCATGTAATAGATCATCAGGCGACTTTGTTTGCACTTCGCCACTGAACCCTGCAGCAGTCCCTGCCACCATCGCATCCTTGTATCGTGGCCTTCGCCAGTCTGGCGTTGATTGCTCGTCGTCAGCTGCTGCGCTGCGCTTTATTATTGCAAGTTAGAACGAAAGTCGGCTGGGTCGACGCTTGCTCGACCCGTCCAGCCCGACTTCCACTGGCTTAGACAATTTTTGAAAGGTTATTTCTCTTGGAACAGCCGCGGTCTGTACTTTGTTACGCTTTGCACTTCATTTGCCGTCAGTCCGTCCCTCCTCATTGCTGCAATAAATATTGTTTACTTTCCTCGTCGTGCTGCATCGCCTGGACAGCTATTTGTTATGTCGTTCGGCTGAAGCCGCTGACATTCATCCAGCCAGAGAGACAGCTTCCTGAAATATGGTCGAGACATGCTTCGATAAGTATTTTATCGCACAAAGGGGACTTCAATTTGTTGCAGACATATATCGCATCCCGCTTCTGGTAATATTCACAGCACACACAATTCATTTTTGTTTACAATACACCTTATATGAGATTCGCGTTAAAGTTTAGTTGGTACTGTCTTATCATTCCATTACATATTTAAAATTATATGTGTGTTTTATTTATTTGATAAAATGATTTGATTATCATTCACGCTAACTCGTTGGCACACAACCTACTGAGACGAAACCCTATCCGTCGTCTGAAGCGCTGACATGGCACATGAGCGGATGTCACATATCCGGCGCCTGAGGCGTAAAAATTGTATCAAAATTCAAATAAACAAAACTTTGCCATCAAAATGAACATTTTGATTGAAAATTTACGTAATAAATAGAAAACGCTATTTTCGACACGCCGAATATTAGATAGATAAGGAAATTTCGTTTTTTTTTTCGCGCTAATACCGATGCATCGTTCTGCATCCCACCTCCCATCTCCTACCGAGGGGTGTTTCGTTCAACGTACGACTCGAGTCGCGGAATAAAAAACGAATTCAAACTAATAGTTTTGACTTCGACTATCTACTTGCTAAATGATTTAAAATATATTGATTAGAGAGGGAAAGTTAATCAAATATAAGTATTAACGTGAGTTCCAGCTTAAAAAATATAGTTAAAAGCAAAGATACAAGCAACATATTTTAATCCACGCTATTTCTCTGAAACTACTTGCGCCTGCCACCGGGTGGTGGTCGGAATGGTTTCCGCCGTGACTTCGAGTCCACAATAAGCACAGATTGGCGTTTGAGATAGTTGCGAGATGGCACCTCATTGTCATCATCGGCTGTGGCCGCTGCAAGTTAGAGAATACCATTTACAGCAACAAGAATTTCTGATTTGGTTCGCCTTTTCACTTACCTACTGCCGGCACCTGCTCTGGCGAAGACGAAGAAGTGCCCGCCGCCCGCTGTGAACGTCCCGCAAACAAGTTGTAGTAGCACATGGGCATGGGCTGCGGCTTCTCGCCCTCGGGCACTGATGGCGATTTGGGTGGCTCCAGTGGGTACACGTCTTCCTCATCCTCCTCTAAGTCGAGATTAGGTATTTCAAGTGGTGGTATATCGTCTGGTTTGCTGAGCTCTTGACAACGTTTAATTTTCAACTTAAGGATCTGATAAAAGCAAAAGCGTCAGGGCTTAAGCATGTACTATTAGATTCGCTATTTACCTCAATTAAGTCCTCATCCTGGGCAACATGTGTCAAAAAGTTGGGCAACTCTGCTACCCTGATGTACAGCTTACGTTCTTTCATGTCGATGTTGGTCTCGTCCACCTCCTGCACCTTGAATATCATCTCGCAAATACGATCCTTGAGATATTTGAGGACACCCATAGACTTGTCAGCGGCATCTGTGTCCTTCTGACGTTCCTGTTCCATGACAGCGATATTGTTTTTGATTTGTTCAATTACCTCCTGATTTCTGTATAGCACACAGAAATTAAATAACTAACCTACGCTGGCCTAAAGCTGTTGTACTTACACTTCACTCTCTTTGACATCCGAAAACTTAGCTATCTCCAGCTCGCTAGTCAACGCCTCACGCTCTGCCTCCAGATTAGCCTTCTCGGCCTCAGCTGCCTTTCGCAAATAAGTGAGACGTGCAGCCGACTCCTTTTGGGCGCTAAAGCGCTCAAAGACCTCGAAGGGTGAAGTGGCGCCGGAAGCCGCCATCAGCTGCTTAAATAGGGATTCCATGTCGCTCGTAACGCTCTCGAGCTGCGACACCGGCTCCTCCTCACCGTTCTCTGTCTTGGCCGTGTGCTGGTCACCCGAGCTAGAACCCACACTATCCTGATGAGCAAGCGTCTTAGTCTCGGCGAACAGCTTGCGACCAATACGCTCCAGCTCCAGCTTACGTGCCTCCACCTGCTTTCGAAAGTCCAAAGCTTGCCGCTCGCGCGTCTTCTGTGAGAGATTGGCCTGTTGCTCCTGCCGTTGCAGTATCACTTTTGCCGCATCACGCATTTCAATCGCATCATTGTGCACCTGTTGCAGGCGCTCAATCTCCGCCTTTTGTTCGTTAAGTGAATGCTCCAGTTCGCGCAAACTCCGTTCAAAACGCTCCGCATCAGTCATGAGCGATGCTTCGATTGAGCGGTACTTCTTGCGTATATGTTCAGCTTCCATCCACTGTACATTCGTGCGATGTATCTCGTTCTCCAACTGACAAACAAGCTGCGGAAACCCACTTTGTCAGATCCATAGTGATAATGTACTACTATAAGAAACGAAATGCTCACCTTTCGATTGGCGTCCTCCTCGAGAGTTTCCGGTGGCTTCTCACCTAAGTTTTGACTCTGCGCCTCCTTGTTAGCTAGGAGCTCTCGGTATTTCTCCACCAGCCTGCTGAAATGGTGCTGTCGAGTCTTGAACCGATGACGCAATAGATCCATCTGTTTGCGACTCTCAGTTATCTTGAGATCAGTCAGAAATATGGCATCATCGGCATTCTTGGCTCCAATTGGATAAGAAGCCTTGCCCACAATAATGGAGGTCGTGGCACTCTGTTTTTTGCGTGGCTCAGAGCTGGTGTCCTTGATGACCACAGGCCGCTGCAGCGGATGGCGCAAACGACTTACCTTAATGGTAAGCTCCTTAATATCCTTTTTCAGTGTTCCAATAGTATCGCAGTTAATACGATTTTGCTTCTGCCACTCCGCAGCATTGGCTGTCTTTTGGCCCTCTACGCAAATGCATAATACAATCAATGCTCAAATCCCAAATCAAGGAAGACTCACCGGCCAACAAAATGCGCTTCTTGATCTCATTTATTTGCCTATTTAAATCATTCAATTTATCAGATTCCATGGTGGCGGCAGCAATTGGCTTGTAAAATTGTACATTTTACTCAATCCGGTGGGTTTGTTTAATCAATGCACCAAACAACTTGTTATGACAACGAACTTGAAGACCGGCTCTAGCCTGCAACCACCAATCGCAATAAACAGCTGTCTAGCAGACAAGTCGTTGTGGCTGCCACTTAATGCTTCGTGCATCCAAAAATATTTTTGTATTTTTTTTTAAATTGCTTACGAGTTGCCATGGAATATATAGGACTTGGGAGCTGGAAGCTTTCCAATTCTCTTAATTTTCTCTTTTCGATAGGTATATATCGATATACTTCTATATATATATATACTACTTTTGATACTGCTCTCCTGCGGTATTACTGTGTCAACTGTAGAATTTCTAGTAGTCATGGCTCTTTCTCGCTAACACAATAATTCTAATTTAATTATCTCCAAACGGTTTTTATTTTTCTTTGTGTCTCAACATGAGCCCACAGCAGTAATCAGCTAACATAATTTGTACAATAGAGTTTCGAAAACGTGCAAAAAAATAATATTGGATCACCAAACAACAAAATATAAAATATACTTAATTAAACCTGGTTTTATCTAAACAATTAGTCACAGTGCGCACAAACTGAGATGCTACTTGTGAATCTCGAAAACGACAGGCCAAAGGTTCGCGAATTCCTTTTGGACAGTTAGCGTAATTGTAGTACACCCAACGGCAGCTGTTGTTGCTTTTGGTCAAATAGTTAACGCTCCACTTGCCATCCACCTGCATATGCACAAGTAGGTTACCTGTGTTCTTGTCCCAGAGTAGCATGTAACAGTTATCAGAATCTGGATGCCTCCAAATTTCAATCCGTCCTTCGCCTAAGAAATCAATTAACACTTTACGATATTTCTTAGTAATTATTTACCTATTTTCTTCCATATCTTTAAATGATCGAAAACAAAAAGCTTCGTCGGCTCGCGGAATATCTGCATACCAGTCTCCTTTATAGCTATTGGATCAATCATCTTATGAAAAGATTTTAGCGTACCTTCAGTTTTACCAATCAAGCTGTCTTGTAGTTCAACATCCGACTCACTCTCAGATTCTTTTAATACTGGATTACCAGATTCTTCGTTGTGAACTGAAAATTTCACTTCCCCGTTAGGTGAGATTTCGTTGTTAACTTCCACGGGCCGTAAGATTATTTCCTGATCCTCTTCATGAGGCTTGGATAAAAGGTTATCAAATAAGCCCATCTCAATGTTATCAGGCACTGTATCGTCTATTGGATTATCACAGCTTGTAAGACTTTTATCTACGAGAGAATCAATCACCCCATTGTCATTTTTAACAGGAATGTTAAACTCTTCCGACTTGCGAGATGGTTGACAATAATTAATATTTTCATCACATACCGAAAGAGCAAAATTATTCATTGTTTTCCAAGCTAAATTCACTTTTGTGGGAGTAGTTTGGTCTGTGTTGGAAATGTCTTTTAGGTAAAAAAACATTAGTCTCAACGCAAATTAAACTTACCTCTACAAATGCCAGATGAATTCCGTGGCAAATCTTGGTGCATTTGTTCCAAAATTAATCTCACGACGTCGGTAGTTAATAGTTTGCATTTTCTACAACCTTCATATGCCAGTCTGATTCTCTTTTGATTAGCATTGGCGAGGAAATTTCTCATACTCGTTGAAGAAAGTAATCTATTCCTGAATAGGCCACTGAATATTCCAGAATGTGGTTGCACCGGTGATTGGGGCTCTATATTATCAGAAACGATTACTTCCTTTAACACAGCATCCACGTCTGCTATAAAGTACAATTCACAGTCCTTTTGGTGGCCGCTTACACATGCCTGTTCTGCTATGGGTAGTCGTTCCACTGAATCGAAACTCGAATCTGTCTCAAACGACAACAATTTTGAATAATCAATGGTCTCTGGCAATATCTTTAGTTTGTTGTTAGGTGCAAATGTGTTCAGCCTGAAGTCAGGCAATGACAAGTCCATTTCGAACTCTTCCGAAGCTGTGCCAGTGCTCAGATCTAAGCACTTTTCCAAATCACTTGCCAATTCAAACGTGTAGACAGGTTTCAGATAGGTAATGGGCCCCAGGCTTAGCAGCGGCTCTTTAGTTTTGAAATCGAACAAACGTCGACTTGGTGCATCCAAACAGCGAGTTGAGATCTTGCTACCTTCCAACATTCTGAAAAATAAATAAATGCACTGTAATTTAAAAAAAAATTAAATTAATTCTGTTCCTCAAATGATTGACTACTAGATTAAAAAAAGTTAAAAAAAATGCTCACAGTTGTTGTTTCTGGATTTTTTCTGTGGTTGACTATTTATATGTATAGGCTTTCTATATTGGATTGCTTAGGCACAAGGTTTTAAAAAACTATGATGTCGTTCGGTGCCCAGGGAAAAAAATGAAAAATAAAGAATGTTGCAGCTTGGTGTAATAAATTACTTAATACTCGTGCACATTAAAATTATATATAGCTACAAGCAAAACTTATTAACACATATTGATTTTCCCGAAGAGGCCAAGCGGTCTTTGGTATAGCTCATTACAATCAATCATACGAATTTACTTTTATGATGACAATGACAGATTTCCATTGCTGCTGCTAGTTAAATTTATTTTGTGAAGGTATTTTTCTCCCTTCCCCCTTATTTTCCTTCTAACTTACTAGCCGACTGACTAAAATGTAAACTAACTAAATGTAATATAACTAAACACACGTCCCAGCCGTAAGAGCTTAAAAGCTTAAGGCAGTAATGAAAACTACTTAGTTTTTGCATTCTTTCGTATTGAAAAACAGATTGTAATCGTTAAAGTTTTCATAAATGTGTATGAGAACATATTTAGTAAAAAATTATAGCTTATAAATGAGCTTATAGCTAATCAGTCAATTATTGAACATTCGAAACAAAAATGCTAGGTCAAAAACCGCAACCCTTCGTCTACTTTGTTTTAATAGTCTATCTCACATTTTTTAATTGACATCATACGCCCTAGAATTGTTAGTCATTGTTTTATACAAAGCGGAAACTATTTCAACGGGCAATGCGGTCACTGCGTCTAATTATCCTTTTCCCATTGCTCATCGTATACGTAATTATAGGTAGAAATGCAGAAATGAAAACGTGGCTAAGGACACAAATTACAACTTGTCCTTCAGCTGTTTAAAGAGTCTTAACACAAGAACAAAGATAGCCACAGGGTCAAACAAAAGAAAAGCGAACAACAACGGAGAGTTTTTTACTATTCACTGACCAGAAAATCCGGGATTCATTTTTATACCCTGTACCAATTAATAATACAGTATGACAGCAAGGGATTAACAGGCTGAAGAAGGCATATCCAACCGTATAAAGTATAAATTATTATACCTGACCAAATCTAACAAACTAAGAGTTTGAAGCATATATATATACATAGATTCAAAATAATTATTTTTAAATTGTTGATACACTAGTTTTTAAATGTTCCCACAATCTCGAATCTCTCACCGTGTGTGCATTTGTGTAATTCTCATAGAAACAAGTTTGAATATATGTGAAGGATGCCCGGCACTCGGCTCAGGGTGTCTCCTAGTCGGTCACTCCCTGTAAGAACGCTTTGTTTAAACGTATAGAGATAAGCGCCTGCAGTTAAGTAAAAAAAATAAATACAACTAGGGTGGTCAGAGTAAATAGCGTAATTTAAATCAGAAATATGCATAAAATGCAAAGAAAACAAATAAAAACGCAAACAAACAAGCAAATAAAACGCGAATGCAAACAAAGAGCATCGAATTTTGGTTTTAAAGCAAAAACCATTAAAATGTTTGCCCCATTAAATTTGTATAGTATTTGTGCCACAAAATGGCGTTTCCGCTCCGCTTTGCCAATCCATTTGGGCATGTGTGCTAGTGTATGTGTACCTTACACATTGACTTTCTTATGCCGGTGTATACCTGTGTTCAATAACCTGACTTCTGCACTCCCAACACCCACACACAAGTTGGTCCTTATAGATTTTAACTGCCAACACATTTGGTTTTTGCTCTTTTCTCTAATTTTGGCTTTCGCTCATATTTTGTTGACATTTGGCTTTTTGTGAATCCAATGATATAACCAAAACATGTTGAAGTATGACTTGAAAAAACTCGAAATTGATTTATGTGTTTGCTTCGGAATAAACAAAAATTGTCTGACAAAGTATTTGCGATTCAGCTTAACAATTTAACAAGTATTGGCACAAGAGTGATAAAATGTCATCTGTGTTTCGTATATTTTGAGGTCGTCGAAGATTGTCCAAGGAATAAATAAGTTTTACTAAAAGGTTTCTAGTTGACATAACGAAAGCAAATTTTTTGTATTTACTTTTTTAGAATTTGAATTATGAGCCGTCTGACTAAACGCAAAAGTTTGCATATTGCTATTACAAAAGAAATAACAGGAACGATAAGCCATAAGATTTGAGTTTAATAAACGACATTTTTGTCTAGACTAATATCGATCAATCCAAGTTTCTGTATAATGGAGTCCTACCTTCGACGATCGAGCAATACCAATATTAGTTTGGTTCAATCAGTTATAGTAATTAATATTATTTAAAATTTATTTTGGGATGTATGTTCTTATTGAAAAAAAACAACAAAGAAGCTGGCCCGCTACTTCAAAAGTAAAATAAATGCAATTTCAAAGATGAAGAATTTGTTTTTTTCCAATGCGCACATTTTAACGAAATCTGATTTAAGAGTAAACATTTCAAAATGTGGGTATGAGGTACCAAAATCAACAAAACACATTGAAATTAATTAAAATTAAGCCGCTGAAAAAATGATGAAGGCTGCACACGTGGCATCTGTTTACTGAACATAATGACGAAGGAAATTAATAAAGCGAAAATTCAAAGAGCCGCCAGTAAAAGTACAAAGTCAAGCGGCAGGGAATGAAACATCCTTTACAAATTAATTACATTTTATAATTTAAAGATAAACGCCGAAAGCTTCACTGTATGTCATAGATATTATGTGTCACATGCATGTGCTCTGTGTGTGTTTTGTGTGTGTTATGTGTGCTAGGTGAGTGATATGTGAGCTATGTCGCTGCTGGGGCTACTGTGCATTATGTTCAGGCTGTGTCTCGTCGACAGGTTCACCGACCTCTTGCTCTGACATGTGCTCGTCATGCAGAGTAGAGTCGGCCAGCTTATATGCTACACACACACTCTAATACTTACGCACACACACACACATTAACATACACTCGGGGCTGTTTGTACTTTGCATTTGTGTGAGTAAGTGTATGTCCTGCAGGCATCACCTGGTGCCACCTTCGCCTCCCGTCAGATGGTAAAACATGTTCAACATTGACAGCGTACGCAGCGCAACGCGAAATTATTCTAATTAGAACACCCTACATCGCCAGCCGATCCTTTAGCAACTTTTTCGAAAGGCTTTTTCCAGTTGGCTTTGCTTTTATATACAATATTTTTTAGAGCTCATTTAACTTTTCTTACTTGTTTTATGCGATTCTGTGAATGGATCCATTTATGAATGGACCTAATCACGTAATCAGCCTCATACGTGGCTTAAAAGTTAAAACTTCACATGCGGATAATAAGGAGCTTCCCTACGGTAACTTGGGTAATTTTGGACTTGGTGCACACAAATATACAACATTTGTACAAGAATAAATGATTTAATTTGTTTGTAATGTACAATATACCATAAACATTTGGGACTGATTTAGTAGAGAATAGCCGAACAGGCGTTACCGTCTTGTATATACGAGAACCAAAATTCTTAAATGCAACCTCTGTCATATATTAGATAATTTATTTATAATGTTAAAAGTTCTTAGAATTATCTAAGTTCCTGAATCTTCTCATTCGCTGCATGACTATTTATTAAAAAGTTTTCGGGCTGCACATTTACGAACATCGGAAAAATGTGCTTAATGGGTTGACATTTCATGTGCAACTTGTGCTGGCATGCACGCTCACACCCACTCACACATGCACATAAGTATATATACAAAGGTATCTTGAGCATATCATTGCCAGCACACATGCTCTGGCTTTGGCTTAATTCACTTTGGGCTAACACGCTCCAAACAGTGAATACAGACGCCACCTGCTGGTGGTGCTGATGCTGCTGCTGCTGCTGATGGTGATAATGGCCGGATGGTGACAAGGATGACGCTGCATCCTTTCCGTCGTCCGACAGGACAGGTAGATATCAAGGAGATGCCCGACGCTTGTAGATTTTTCGTCAAATTCAAATGCTGTTTTCTGTCTGTGTACCGGTCCGATCTAATACAGTTGCCTGGTTGCGTCATCCCGTCTCCCATCTGTCATGTGTTAAATTAGAGGGGCAGGCAGTAGGATGCTGTGCTTTGAACACCAACTGCCACTCCCCTCTCCATAGCACGTGTCGCATGATGTATGACATTTTTGCGCCTCATAAACAGCCACATTCACCGGCTGGTAATCAGGTGTTCACAATCCAGCGCTTTCCACGTGTCGCTAGCCATTTTGTTGCTGCTTTGTTTATGTGCCCAGCATACCGGTAGCCTTTAGCCACCTTCCATTCAAACAGCTCTAGGAAAAATGTGGGCGCGCCTGGTGCAATGTGCCTGGCTTGTGGTTTATTTGGTTAGTCGGCGTCGGACGGGTGGGACTGGCTGTTTGTTTGCCTTAACGAAATTGCCACGACTTGCAATGGCGTTGCCGTCATGTTGACAATTTGTTCGTTTACTGTAAACTGACTTATTTGCCTCAACGGTGCAATTTAAATGTGGCAAAAGTTGATTGACCCCGCCGACTCCACTTAAATCAAGGCAACAACATCCCGTAACTAAACACTAAGGTGGAGTGTAAAAAAATTCCTTCCGTTAATGCGAATCTTTCATGTATTTGGAAGAATTGTTAGTGAGTTTTTGATTCTTTATTTTACCTTCAGCAATGAAATAATTTATTCCAGGTTTTATATTCTATTAGCCTAATCCATCATTTTCATAGCCCCACATAAAAACATAATTGAATGCACCAATTTTAGAAAGTTTACTTCCAGGTTCGCAAGGCGAGCATAAAACATTTTCACCTTGTATATACATATATAGAGAGAAATATGTATGCTTCTTTATGTTACACAACGAACCAACAAAATACTCAAAAGTATATTGCCTAGCAGCATGAATATAAAACTTAAATAAGATGAATACATGAAAACAGCAGAAGATAGAACAGAGGGTGGTAATCATAAACAAATTACAGCTGTGCTATCGGACTGAAAGCCCAATGAAGTAAATTGTTAAATCGATGGGACTTTTAGGTAGTTTGACTCTCCCTGGGCGAACTATTTTGGTTTATATAAATTGTATCGTCTTTAGGCTCTGAGTGTCGAAATATCATTAAAAACACATCTCAATTGTATTTGCATAAATCGAAGTCATTGCAAATGTTGAAAAAGGACACAGTCGTAAAGCCATCTACTGAATATCATTCAAAATCGATTGCAAAGCAATTAGGGAGTGATTTTACAATATACGTATCAAGCGAACCATTTAGCTATGTATGTCCATGTAACAACTCAACAAAAATGACTCAAATGATAAACTCTTGGCTGTGACAGTTTTCCCATAGTTGTGAAGCACCATTGCGCAGTGAGACCTCTCTGGGGAAGGACGAACTGAAGTTGAAAGGGAGCACTATGGGATTATGACACTTTTTACGCTTCGTTGCCAGCATATTCAACTTTTGCTTTCATTGAATGAAATAAAAAATTCAATTAAAATGCACACACGGACAACATTCAAAGCTCAGTGCCAAAAAATATTTGGAGCGGAACGGTCGAAACAATAACAAAAGCAACCAGAAAACAAGTAAGAGTCCTCTATGCGGTAGGGCCCAACTAGGAGATACCCTACATCATATATATACACATACACAGCTTCTTCGCTTAGCCCTTACTGTGGGAAATGCTTTCTTAATTTAGTTCTGTGTCTCTAGCTCTGATATCGGAGGGAATCAGAGTCCGGCATCGCAACATTCAACTCATCACAGGTCTGAATAGCGAACCGTTAAGGGAATACAAAAGAATGCAGCTATGTTACTCCTGGGCACTAATTAGATTAAATATAATGATAGAACATGATCCCTGGAGGTATAGTGCTGGAAGAAATCAGGAGACTCACGCAGTGAGCTACCCTTGCATTCAAGACATACTTTTACTCTAATTGGGCAGCATATGAACCTTATTTGGCTGAAGATGTTTTATACTAAATTTGCACAAAATCATAATACCCTTTTTACGCATCTTCAATGGGTTCAGGGTATAAAGACTACAAGCTTTCGAGTGCCGAATAATAAATACCCTTGCCGTGTAACAGTTGCATATAAATTGTTATTTCAATGCTGATTATTTCAATGTGTAATGTTCTATTCTTGAGACTGACAGGTATTTTAATTAGGGCATGGTTATGTTCACCTGACTTAATTGTGACAGCAGTAATTGGAGAGTGAATTGTCTAATTTACCCAGTCACTCCATATCGCAGGCGAGTGTATAGACGTAGTATTGTCTTGGACGAATGCGGAAATGAGGATATAGCTCAGTCAAGTTCTTTTGGTTGAAGCACTGTTACTAGTTAACCGTCCATCAACGTGTATTTATATAATTAATTTAAATTGTTTTCCAACAAGTAGAGTATATTTACATTTGTTTCCATAGCATAAAGTCTGTTGCGTTCTATTCTTGGCTAGAATCCAGCACGATGTTTGACAAGAGAACAATAATTGCGTCTGTTCAAATAAACTGCTGTAGAGCAACGTTGAATTAAATGTTGAATCTATATTTACGTTTTCAGGAAAATCAATAAATAAATTATTTAATTACCGCTTACTTGTGCTGTCCATTAGAAAGAAACATTAGGCAGCATTTCCAATATATTTGGCAGCTTAATTCTAGCATGTAATCATTTTAGGAAAAGCGCGCTTTCACTGCAAATATTAAAGTAATAGAAAACTTTTATTTATTTTAAGTTTATTTAGTAAATATTTCCTCTGAGGAAAATAAATGTTAAATTCGAATAAATACGCATAAAAACGTATTAAATAATTGCATTACCAGTACAAATGAGCGCTTACAATTGGGCACCTCGCAAATTGGGAATATTTAACCTACACAAATAACGCCAATAACAATAGGGCGAAATAAATTCATTTGTCATAATGCCGCGCTATGGAAACAGAAGGCTCCCCTTACCCTGCGCGGGGAAACTGGAAAAACTAAAGCTCATCTGCGGCACCAAATGCAAATAAAATGCAAAGCCGAATTTACGGCGCCTGCTTTTCAATTGGCGGGGATAGGAAAATGGGCTGAGAACGGAACTCCAGGCTCGGGCGGCTACCGTCTGACAAACGGATCACGACTGTGTGGGTACGTTTTATGGCGGATTTTCGACGACATATAAAAATAAAATTGGATTTTAGCGTAAAATGTAGAATGCCGTAAATATTTTTCAATTCAGTAGCTCTGTCCGTTGCTGGTTCGGTCGAGCGCACGGGTAGCATCCATATGTATGAACGATGATTTCCCCAGGGCGAAGGGCTGCGGTTGCTGGGACTGTCAAAAGTATTGGGAATCGCGTGCAAATGATTTGCCGAAATCAACTCAGCGACACGCAAATAAAGCACCCCCATCAGGCCAAATGGAAACCAGTCGAGCTGGCGCAACATGTGCCAAATGCGGTATTATTCAAATTCCCAACAAGGCTGCTCTCATATAGCCCCTGGCGAACTTAACCCTTTTTATATACAACCAACTAAATTCCTCTTCCACACCATATTTGTCGCTCGACCGAACTTTGCTGAATCCTGGCAAATCTCATTTGTTTTGATGGCGTTAAATTGATTTCTTTGCTTATTTTGATTTTTAAAAAGATAAATGCCGTCAGCTCGGATTTCTTTATCTTTTCTTGCGACTTTGTTTAAAAGAAAAGTTGCACATTTAGCAGAAAGTGCAATCACCTAAGCAAAGGAAATTAACTCTACTCAAAAGCACACTTGTAACTTATTTAATAAGTATTTACATATTTTTGGTTTAAAAAAACCTATTTTATTAATATATTTAAGTTTCTAAAATTAAATATAAATAATATACAGTAAAATCTGAATGAAAACAAATCGGATTCTGTCTTTTTGCTTGCGTTTTTCCACTGAGGCACATTAATGCGATTATTATTTATATTCGCGAATCGTTCGGATGAAATTGTAATGGGAATTAAATGCTTTTAACTATTTTACATTTTTATTTATATAATATGCATTGTCTCTAAAAGCAGAATACGAAAAAGTATGGTTTTTGATTAAAAGGGATTCGCTCCTAACCCGTTTATAGAAATAGGACCAATAGAACTTATTAAATTTGTTTCAAATTTTGTTTCAAACGTCAAAGCAATAAAGACTGAAAATGTCAAAACAGCTTAAACTATTTTGTTAAATTAACTCTGTTCATGTTGGCTATATGGGCTGTTGCCCATTTAGCTTGTGAACAGCATGTCAATGCGAAATCGTGAACGGTGGCAGAAAGTGCAGATGATTCTCAGCCGCTGGCACAATATCGCATTCAGTAAAAAATTCCTGCTCTTTACGAACCTGGGCATCTCTATTAGCTTAAGCATGCTTGGCGATACTATGGAGCAGTCATACGAGCGGTTTACGGGCCAAATCGAAGGCTGGGATCGTACACGTACATTACGAATGGGCATCTCAGGCTTCACGGTGGGCATTGTTTGTCATTATTGGTATCAATGGCTGGACTACTATTATCCCAAGAGGACCTTAAAAACGGTTGTCCACAAAATATTGCTCGATCAATTCATTTGCTCGCCATTCTATATCGGCGTATTCTTTCTCACGATGGGCTTGTTGGAAGATAACACCTGGGAGGAAGTTAAAGAGGAGATCAAGGACAAGGCTCTGATTCTCTACAAGGCTGAGTGGACTGTATGGCCAGTCGCACAGTTGATTAACTTTTTCTTTATTTCTCCGAAATATCGTGTTTTGTACGACAACACCGTAAGTCTGGGCTACGACGTCTACACCTCCAGGGTAAAGTACAAAAAGAAGGAACCACCAAAGATGCTTTCCAATAGCACAGCATTGAAAATATATAAGGCGCATAGAAATCAAACTAAGCCAAGGCAATACCCAAAAAAAAAAATGTAATATACAAGAATTGTAAAAGATTTTTTCAAAGTCTGCGTTTTTATATTATTCATGTGCATACGTATGGTACTAGCTTACCAGACGGGTAGTCTTTTTTGGCCATGTTTCTCTCTTCGTAATTTGAAAACTTTCTGGCACCACACTTAGCTCCTACTGCCACCGAGCGGAGTGAGTTTTTCCAATCGATAAATCTTGTCTGATTTCGGTTTTTCAAAATCTGTAAGATATTTATAATAATAAATCAATAACCTGTTAACCATAGTTCCAGAATTATGTTTTATATTGATGTAGGCTACATTTAGATTAGATTCGATTGCAAATAAAAGTCTTACCTTAAATGAAGTTCCTCCAACACCAGTGACACCCAAAGAAATCAAAGTTCTAAGCTGTTTTACTCCAAGATGTCAGCAGCACGAAAGAAATAGCTGAAAGCAAATCAGCATATTATACGTTTTCCATTCGACGGGTTGAAGAATCACTCGGTAATTGGAGAAGCCCTGATGGTCCATTGTGTGACCCTTAGGCTGCGAACTATACAGAATTTTAAATATTATGGACAAGTTTATTAGAGTAGAACATTGAAACCAATTCGGGGTATTTATGCATACTAAACAGATGCATTTGGCTGTAATCGCTTCGTAAACTTTTAATTTATAGAATCGTCTTTAATTTATAGAATTGTCTCAAAGCAAGCTTTTTGATATACATTTTAACTGATATAATTATTGACGTCGAGAAAGTGAGTCTTTGAAAGCACTTACAATTCATACATTTTAAATAAAGATCTCGCCACTTGATACCATAGTGGGCTGAACCTTAGACTTGGCGTGCGATTCAAAAAGCTAAACTGACTTCTGTGTCTCCATTCAGCGACAGACGTTTAAATACATGACGTTATGCTGCGACGGCTGTTAAAGAGCAGATAGGATGAATGCCATCGAACACTTGAGAGACACTCAGCCATGTGCTCTTGACGAGGACGAATTGTGTCAAGCATACAAAACAAAACAAAATAAAGAAGAAAACAAAACAAGACAGCTGCATAAAAAATGTAAAAAGCATCAAGTGACAAAATTGATGTCAAGACGAGCGGGCGGCTGTTCTGGTCCGCAGTGGAAATGGTTTCACGGCTAGCGCGAGTTGACACCCGCACAACCACACACGTCGCCTAATCCAATTTAAATCTCTTAACATGATTTGCCGCTTTCTTTTCATTTTGCTGGATTTTATGCCATTATCCTTTCTGGCTGTCCTGGCAACCGAATTGCCAAGCAAAACACGAGGCGTCGCTGTCATCGCCATCGTCATCGTCCGGCTGGCAAGTTGACTTCCTGTCCTGCTTTTTATCTGCCTTAAGCAAGAAGGGCGCTCGCAAGGACATCAAGGAGTATGCCCAAAAGGGTTCATTTATTTGGTTTAGTCCTTGCTCCGGTCGCCCTACTGACTCTATCTGTGTTTTGTGATTTAATTTAAAAGCTCACCAGGCATGCGAACGGGCAAAGTTTTAAGGCTGGCGGCGCTGGCGAAACGTGTAGCTCAGTTGTGTTAGGTCCTTAACGTGTGTGCGGTTAGGTTCTACATGGATGTAAGTGTATGGCTGTGTGGCTGTGTATGTGTGTGGTTAATGTATCTTAAATGAGAAAACGTGTCCGTGACTGTGCTTACCTTTTAATGCATTTAAATCAGCCACTGCGTCATTAGGTTCAGCTGTTGTTGAGGGCGAGCTTAATGCAAATAATTTAGTAGACAATGTGAAAACAACCGGAATATCTAAAAATGTCATTAAATACCTTTACAGGAGACCATAATGGACCTCACCACCCCATCATTAGTTTATATACGAATTATTTCAGGGCAAACCATTTTTTTTATAAATATCCGAATATCCATAAACAATAATGTTACCAATATATTGATATCTTATTTCGAGCCCTGCTTACGTATCGAATTCTGATAAATTCAAATAAATTCAAATAAATTCAATTCAAATTAGGAAGTAAAAAGTCGCCGCTCGAATTAGCTACCGCTGCATAATCGGTACCCAGGGAACACCGCGAGGAGCTAAAAGTAAAACCTTTATAAATTTGCAAAATATTGTCTTTGATCTGAGTTGGGATTTGCCATTTTAATTGACACCTGAAGCTATCAAAGAAAAATTCGAACGATGTTTCAATTCCAATTACTGTTGCTTGCTTAATCAATGGCATAGCCAGCCATATTTTAGTTGCTAGCTAACCGTGCATCTGATGAAACATGCCCGCAGCTATAATTCTATTTGCGACTATACAAACCAATTATGCTGATATGGCATTCATAGCATGTTGCATAATTAGCGAATTATTCGTGGCCAAGGTGTTTTGCTTTAATTTGGCTTTAGGTGTAGTCTTCTTATGGCTTATGACTGAAACTTTTTTGACAGATTTTTTTTTTTAAAAGCCATAAATTAGTCAGAGCTCACGGATCGTTAATGACTTCCTTGTGCAAAGTGTGGTACCCTTGGCACTTTATAGATCCCCCATCCAACTTAGTCTAATCAAATTTATTTATTATCTTGACGCTAGCCCACACGCCTAATGCCAATCATTTTATCAATTGGATTATTTACAGTGTGTGGCAAATTTGCAATCTGCTGTTTTGTCATTTTTTTTAAATTTGTTAAAAAACAAATTACAGTGCTCTAGTCGAGAGCGCCCAACTAGGAGATAAACTGAGCCAACGCCAAAGTCAATGTGATAAAGTATGTTTTTATCAAAGCACAACAAATTTGAGACCAATAAATCCTTTCACTTTAAAGAACAACTTGAACATTTACTGAGTTACTTTAGGTCGTTTTCACTGTACTATGATATTGTATCATTGACGTTGTATGATATAGCATTCCCAAAAAATGTAATCGAGCATGTTCGTCGTTGTGGAATAATTTATTTCAGAGTGGCGTCCTTTTGACAGGTCCGATTTTTCAGCAAAACGCTTCCACTTGATGCCAGTCCAGTCCGCAGCACTCAAATTATGCACGCTCCTTGCCCCTTGGACGGGCCCGTTTTTCAACTGTTTGTGTGGTTAACCAGCCGTTAAATGATGCAACATCAAAATGTATCCAATATATTGCTGCATACTTTTAGGCAACTTTACAGTACACTGTCCTGCCTTAGTTGGCTATTAAATGATTCAAAACTTTTAATTGCTCGCTACGCGGAAAATTGAATGAGCGTTAAAGTGCCCTACGAGTGAAATCACCAATCACAGTAAATCACTGGAAACGAGACTGGAATCCAGATTGCCCTTAAGTCCGTTTCGCACATTTAAGCAAGATACTTACCTTTAATACAGCTTTTTACTTTGCCGCCGCAGGGATATGAAAAAACACTAAGGCCGCCAAAAGCAATGCCAAAAACAGCAAAAGTAGCAGCAGTAGCAGCAGCAGCAGCAGCAACAACAACAACAACAGCCACAACAATCGAAATGAGAGCAGCAAATTTTAACGAGCACCACAAAACCCCGACACGCTGATTTTTAAGCCGCTTTCCCTTTTCCAGGCAGCGCCTCCTCCGCGCTTTTGTAATTACAAAAAGTCGAGTTGGGCGCAATGCTTGACAAATGGAAGGGCGCACGATGGCTTTGGGAAAGACGGACGACGGACGCAAAACGAATGAAAGTATGGAACCCACACATACAGCGAACGAGCCGGTTAACCGGGATAATAGGATGAAACAAATGTAAACGATGCTGGAGAAGGCACAGGAGGCCGAGAACCGGTGACGATGGCGCTGCCAGCGGTTACAGACGCAGTGGTACACAAAAATATACAAAATATGAAACAGTTCAAGCAAAAACCTGCAGAAGACATTTCCAACTGTGTTTTTTGCCTTTGTCTCACAAATGGAACGCAAAGCCGCCTCGCGGGCACCAGCTATGCTTCTTCACTCGGAACCAAACAAAAAAAGTGGGCAGATAAAATATTTGTACATACATACTGCATACCTTATACTCGATGTTCAAACTTGTCGGCTACCTTCACTAATGGAATAGATTTGCACAAACCAATAACAGCAAGTCAATTCTCTGATCCATTAGCTGACATATCCTGATTATGTTTGAAGTCGCAAGACAAATTCACCAAAAAGCTTGTGGCCCAAAAAGTAAAACGAATCAAATTCTCAACACACGAAACAAATCAAGCTAACAACATCCGTGGAGATTTTGCGTATAAGAGCTAAAAGCTGTTCGTTTGTTGCTGCTGTACTTTTTTTATAGAAAAGTGTTCCAAATCACCAAGTTATTGCATCCAAGAGAACAACAAGATTTCGGCATCTGATTCCCGGCTAGTGTATAAATGTAGTATTGTATTATCCGAAGTTATGTTGATAACTTGTATATACTGATATGAATAATGTTACTTAAATAATAAAACACTGAGAATTACGATAATAATATAAGTAAAAGCCCCCTTTAATTCATTTAAAGTTCAAATTGTTAGGCATTGAGATATTTAGCACACCTTCGATGCGAATTCAATTCAACAATTTGCAAACTTGCGCTTCGTAAATTTTCCATTGAAATAAATTGATTTATTTTTTGTTTTAAAATTCTATGCATTTTCTATGGACCATGCCCCTTGCAATTAAGGGCCATTCAGCTGACCATCCAGCGAATGACCGCAGTTACGTCAACAGTTGGTTGGACGCCTCGAACGCAGCTGCTGTGGCCCCTGTTGATGCTCCCATGATGAGAATCTCGCGGCGCGGCAATTAAAATCTTGCATTCAAGTCTGGCCGCTGCAGTTTCAAGTATTTTAATTTCCCTCGGCGCGGCAAGAACTCAACAGTGTTCCATACCGGAGCAGGGCGCACTCACACTTACACCCATAAAGTATAACCAAAACAAAACGCCAAGTGGCTATGGCGATGGAGTCGACGAAGGCGCAAGCGATGACGACGGCGATGAAAGGGTCGCTCTGGATGTCAAGCGCATGCGCGATAGCTGCACAAAATGGCGACGGCGAATTGAAAATTCCGAGATGTGTCGGATGGCTTGTACTTCAGTTGCTGCAGGACTTTCGCGAGATAAAGTTGGGCCAGGCGCACGAGCGAAGACGTCATGTGAGAAACGTTTGAAAGGTACGCGCGCGAAATCTTTTGAATCTGCACCCCCGCTTCCTGTGCGGAGACTGAGTCGTCGTCGTCGTTGTCAGTGTATACATACATGTGCGTGTGCGGGTGTGTGTGTGTGTCTGT